CCGGGCAAGGCAATGGCCCCTTTTGCCTGAATTTTCTTTGGACAGCAACCTGGATTCTATTTGGAGAAGTGGGGCGGCAGCAGGAGGGCTTCTGGGCAGCAGAACAGCTGTTTCTGCTGCTGGAATTCTTTTGGACAGCAAGAGGAGGATTGATAGCAGCAAAATTGTTGATCTATCTTAGCTAGAATTGATGGACAGCAAGTTGTTTGGTCTTAGGAAGATTCTGAACAGCAGTTTTCAATGTCCCAAAGTTCAGGACAGCAAATCAAACTCATCTTCTTCTCTTGGCTTCAACAAACATGAGAGGCCTAGGGTTTTCCAAGGTGAAGAGGCAAAAGGAGAGGGGCGGCCAGGGAGGGAGAAGGGGAGGGGAGGTTTGGGTGTGGGCTTGGATTAGGTTAAAAGAGGGGAGAGGGAAAATAATCCAAAAATCTGAAATTAATTTCAGATTTTAAGTGAATTTGGCAGGACTTAATTTGAATTTTGAATTCAAATTAAAGTGGGAGGGAGCCTTAAAAGGAAGCAATGAAATTAAGCCCATTTATGGGTAGGCCGACGGTATGAAGAGGAGGGAGGGAGTTGTGGGGAGAGTTTTATGAGTTTCCAAAACAACACATGTGAGTTAGGAAAGGTATCATGAAATCCAAGTTAATTTGAATTTCAAATATATTTGAATTTATACACTTTCCTAATTAATATTTTCAAATAAGGAAGTTTTTGAAATTTGAATTTCAAATTTCAAATTGAGGAAAGGGAATATGATGCAATCAAAAATTTGGGAAGGGACCCAAATTTTTTATCACAAAAAGAAATGACTTCCTAAATAAAATAAAGACACAAAATGCTCAAAAGGATACAAATAAACCACAAATAACTTCACTTTAATATATAAAAGACTATTACAACTTGGACACTTACAAATGACTCAAACAAGACACCTAAAAAAGCTTTCATCCATTAGAAGAAGGATACAGGTGAGGTGGCACTTGCGGCGAGACGAAAGAGGTTAGAAGCCAAGACGAAGGGTGGAGAAGCTCGCAAGCCTTCCTAGAAGAAGAGAAGAAGAAGTGATGGAACAAGCTCGCAAGCTTTTCCAACAAAAACCGCAGATTTACATCTCCAAAAATCATTCACATAACCATTCTAAACATTCCAAAACAACTACTATTTATAGACCAAAAGATGGAATACAAACAGCCACCAAAAAGCAACATTTAAATCCAATAAAATAGAGAAATAGAAGGCCATAAGTCACCAAGAAGAAGGCCAAAAGACAGTCAAAAACTGCAGTAGAAAACTGCACAGAAAACAGTAAAAATCCCATGGAATTCCCCCCAAGTAAGGCCAACAGTCACACAAACAGCAGTCCCAAACGGCACAGCAAACAGAGCACCAAAGCCACGGCAAAAAGACCCCAACAACGACGGAAAAACAGCCCAGCATGGGACCCGAACAGTCAGCACAGCAGGCCCATTTGGTACAGGAAATAGAGAGGAGAAGGCCACCGGAACCAAGCAAAAATTAGCAAAACCGAACAATCCAGCAGAGAACCAGGGAGCCAACCGTGGGAACCAAGGGGCCAAGGCATGGGAAACCAAGAGCCATCCACGGGAACCAAAGGGTCAAGATCCACCATAATGAGCTTCAATAAATGAGCTACCTTTTAGTTCAATAAATGAACTAAAAAACAGCTCATAATCAGCTAACTCCTTGACATTAATGAGCTAGAGAAGTCAAAAATCAAATTTTTGGGTTTGATTTGACCCCCCCTGCCTACATCAGACTCCCCTACTTGAAAAACTCATCTCCCGATAAGTTGGCTTTACATTTGACTACCAATAACTACTATGACTCACAAGACTCACAATAACTACCATGACTTACCAAAATTCACTCGACAAATTGACTCATAAACCTAGGACTTCCTAACTTGATCTGATAACAAAATGATGCAATCAAAAATTTGGGAAGGGACCCAAATTTTTTATCACAAAAAGAAATGACTTCCTAGATAAAATAAAGACAAAAAATGCTCAAAAGGATACAAATAAACATAACTTCACTTTAATATATAAAAGACTATTACAACTTGGACACTTACAAATGACTCAAACAAGTATCTCACCTAAAGAGCTTTCATCCATTAGAAGAAGATACATGTGAGGTCGCATTGCGCGAGACGAAAAAGGATAGAAGCCAAGACGAACGGTGGAGAAGCTCGCAAGCCTTCCTAGAAGAAGAGAAGAAGAAGTGATGGAACAAGCTCGCAAGCTTTTCCAACAAAACTCGCAAGTTTACATCTCCAAAAATTATTCACATAATCATTCTAAAACATTCTGAAACAAATACTATTTATAAACCAAAAGATGGAATACAAACAGCCACCTAAAAGCAACATTTAAATCAATTTAAAAAGAAAATAGAAGGCATAAGTCACCAAGAAGAAGGCAAAAGACAGTCAAAAACTGCAGTAGAAAACTGCACATAAAACAGTAAAAATCCCATGGAATTCCCCCCCCCCCCAAGTAAGGCCAACATCACCCAAACAACAGTACCAAATGCACAGCAAACAGAGCACCAAAGCCACAGCAAAAAGCCCCCAAACAGCCACGGAAAAACAGCACAGCATGGGACCCGAACAGTCAGCACAGCAACCCCATTTGTGTACAGAAATAGAGAGGAGAAGGCCACCGAACCAAGCAGAAATCAGCAAAACGAACAGTCCAGCGGGAACAAGGAGCCAACCGTGGACCAAGGGCCAAGGCATGGGAAACCAAGAGCCAGCCGCAGGAAACAAAGAGCCAACCGTGGGGAAACCAAGGGACCAAGGCACGGGAACCCAGCAGCCATCCACAGGAACAAAGGGTCAAGATCCACCTAATGAGTTTCAATAAATGAGCTACCTTTTAGTTCAATAAATTAACTAAAAAATAGCTCATAATGAGCTAACTCCTTACTTGACAATTAATGAGGCTAGAGAAGTCAAAAATCAAATTTTTGGGTTTGATTTGAACCCCCCCCCCTTTGCCTAGATCTAAATAATAAATCCAATTTGATTTATTTTGAAATTGAATTCATGATTGATATTTTCCTAATTTGGAATTCTCCTTTTTATATGGAAAGAATTTGAAATTCGAATTTGAATTTCAAAACAATTCAATTTTTTCATCTCACGCTTGAGCTAAATTAGGAAGTCATTGTGGTGATTGAATTCAACATAATGAGGGGGAAATTATGAGGGGGCCGGCGGCAAAGGGGAAGGAGGAGATGGCGTCGGGTGAGGGGAAGGGGAAGGGCTTGGGCTGTCGATGCGAGCTTGAGGTGGTGGAGCTAAGCAGGACTTGGGGGGGGGGGGGGGATGGCCGGTGGTGGCAGGGGAAGTAGGAGCCGGTGATTGGGATGGGAAAGAGAAGAAAAGAAAATAAGATAGATTAAACCACGAGCCGCGGACTCTTCCAACGACTGGTGGGCCTTGCTCTTGCTCACCTCGAGCTCTCTCTCCCTTCTCTCTAGTGCACTCACAAGAAGAAGAAGAAGAAAAACACATAAAATTTCATTATCAATTCATCATCACAAAATACAAAACAACTAGCCTATAAATAGGCCTCATGACAAGAAAAGAAATAAAAAACTAAAATGTCCTTCGGGCTACAACACTACATGACCACCCTTAAGAGTATAACGGGAAAAACAACAATATAAAATAAACTAGTACATAAAACATATAAATAAATAACTCAAGATCATAGTCGTTGATCTCTGATGTCCTCATAATTCTTCCCAGGTGGGAGAAAACTCGACTCCGTCGAGTGGGTGTCTCAAGAACTCTCGTGTATCTGAGTCGATCAGATGTATCTCCTTGCACTCTGATCATGTATCCTCTAACTCTGGTGTACCTCTCCACCTCATCAGCTATCTTCTTCGTCCACCCTCAATTGTGGAAATAATGTCATCACTCGAAATCATGTCAACCTTCTCTGCTATAGGTAATTTGAGAATATTTAGGGAGAGGAGGTAGGCTGGGGTTCTCATAGGGTGGGGTCACACAAGGCTCAATTTGAAGTGGAGGCGGTGGGTTAAACTCTGGACCCTCATAGGTTACTAAATCTTCTATGTTAATAGAGGGATGAATGTTGAACTTTGCAGGCAGATTCACCACGTAAGCATTGTCATTGATTTTATTGACTATTTTAACTAATCCCGCACTTCTAGCATGTAATTCCTTTACAGTTCCTTATGGGAATTGCATCGGACGAATCCGCACTGTCGCTAAATTACCAACCTCAAAAGCTTTAAATTGTCGTTTTTGAATTTAGCATAAAGTCCATAATTATTATTGTTCTGTTTCAACTAGGCATGCAACTTCCTTAAATAGTTCATGCGGATGCGATGCAAATGCGGTATGTTTTTAGGCAAGGTAATTTCAAGACTCAACAAAATAAATAATGTTGTGATGCAAGAGACTCAGTGTGCATGATGATTGGATGTTGTAATTTCAAGACTCGCTGAATTACCAACTCGACTCAGTGTGCATGATGATTAGTATTTATATTTATTATTGTTGTTATTATTATTATTATTATTATTATAAAAAATCAAATCAATTTAAATTCGAACATTCTAATAGATGTAAGCCCTAACTCATAGAATATGCAGGTTTTATCGTATTTTTCCCAAGTGAACATCACTTAAAAAGGAAATCTACAAAAAATTAAAATAAGAACTCAACCAAACAAAAAGAAATTCACATCTCATACAGGAGATGACTCCGAGATAGCAACAAAGTTATCCAAATATTCTCTCCTCATTGGCAGTCGAACTATATTTTTTTCCAAAAATCTTTAGCAAATGAAATTCCGATAATTGATTTGAAAAAAAAAATTTAAAAATGAAATAGCATGTTGCCTGAAAACCAAAAACTAGATGAACCAAAACAGCAGCAATCTAAACTTAAATTGGTAGAATTTGAGCAGGCTGGAGTTCAATGCAAACAATAAAACCTTGTAGATGCACAATACACAAGATTTCTTCTCTCCAGAACACCATCAACACGAAGGCAATCAACCTACAATATTTAACAAAAATAACCATAAGTTTTGGTGGGTAGATCATACAACAACATAACTTACATGCATGTTTTTTCATTGTCCAGAGCAAATTATGAAGTGAAGCCGTAGAAATGTAAAAAACTAAAATCATGCACAACTAACCTAACAAAAAAATGGACGATCCAGCAAGTTTTTGTGAATAAAAAATTAATAAAAATCTTTACATCGAATGGCCAGAGATTTTTAAGCAATTTAATGCCAAATTAATAATGCATAGCCACTAAACAAAGCTATAAATAAAGTTATAGAAAAACCAAATATAAGAAGATTAAACCCCCAGGCAAAATCAAAGGTTTCCGGTTGATCAAAAATCCCCATTCAATCTGGACAATAGAGTGTAAACAATAGGAATTGCATAATTGTAGAAGAAACAAGTCCTACACTTAGAAAACAGGTGTGCATAGCATTTTCTATAATTTTCACAATAAAAACTTTAAAATGATAAAGAATAAATGGATTTGACATTTGACTAGTCAAGCCTCCATTTGATGCATAATCTCTCAATTTTTTGCAGTCATGAGTAAAGTAAATGATATAAATATAGCAATTAATGTATAGTAGCAATTAAGGATTTGCTTGGTACAATTATGGTGTTATTTATATGTTTCATGAAATAAACAACTCTATTCTCGCACAGTTGGGACAAGCTGCAATTATAAAACCGCTCTATTCTCACAACCAAATTTCCATAACAAACCAAAACTATCTTTTCCGAAAAAAGATTGGAGAAAAATTCTACCAAACCATGCCTAAGAGATATTGTCATTATTCAAGAGACAGGAACAAAAGACTTTAAGCCCTGCAATTGAATATGCCTCCCAAGTTTTGCAAAAATGTAACTACCCGATGTGGCATAGAGGAAGGATTGATAAAGGAAAAGTGAATAAACCTGCCAAGGATAAAGTTTTGTAATGCCTTTCTTTGAATATACACCAACAAGTTCAGAAGGGAGCCAACTGCTAAGCTGCAAATAATCCCTCAAAGGGACAGAACTAGCTGGTGTGTTATTTTCTTCATGGTATGCTTGAGCATTTGACCTGGTTTCCAACATTTCGGCATCTATTCTTTCCTGTAAAGCAGAAATTGAACGAATAGAAGACAAGTCATTGCATGATGGATTAGCTCCATTGACCTGACCCAAAGAGACACTTTTCCCCGTGATTCCAACAGAATTGGAAGCATCAGGAACTGGTTTATGCAACTTTCCATCCAACAAATGCGCATTACTTGGGTTCTGATTTGTATCAAAAGCCTTTCTGTATGCTTCACTTTCACAACTCTTATCATGCAATTTTTTATCATTTATGAAATCACCAACTATGAGCCCAGCTCCAGCATTGCTAACAGAATTAGCTCTGTCCAGAAAGCCCTTATCAAAATTCTTGTTGGTATCATTCTCCTCGTGAATAAAATCAAAATGCCTTATTGGCAGAGGTGACACTTCATTCTTTTGAATGACAGCAGGTGGCATTTTAATTTCTTCAGTTATCAACTCATTAGGCTTCATAAAAGAAATTCCTACACCATTTTGAGCTTCTTCCTTGACAATCTCTAGCTTAGAGATATATTCAGAATTCTGATGAGCAACACAAGACAAGGCGTCTTTCACAAAAGTTTTGAGAGAACCATCACTCGTTGAAACTAGTGAATTTGCAAGTAGCCTTTCAACTGGAACAATTAAGCCATCAGCAACTTGAATTGCCTCATTCCAAAATTCTTCCCCTGGCGATAACCGGGAACTTCTTGAGGCTGATTTAGGGGTTCCAACGGATGAAGCAAGCGCAGTAAGCCCACTCTTTATTAACGTTAAATCAGGTGTTTTACTGCATCTTATTGAGCTAACATGAGAAGTATCAGCCATGTTAATTTCTTTGAGATCATTACATCCTGACTCCTGCACGAGTTTTACCACATCGTAGGTTACAAAGGCGAAGAAGGAATAAAATGAAATAAAGTACTACCTCATCAATTTCTTTGCACTCATTACCTCAGAAGCATTATTACTTGTATCTGGTCTTCCATCAAATGTATCTGTGATGCACTGCTTTTTACTGCAGGTGGATAAAAAAAAGGAACTGCCATCTCTTTTTTTTCCTCTAGCCTCACTTGTCTCCGGTAAGGCTGATTGAAGATCACTTATCAAACAAAATTTGACATATTCAGGGTTAATTTTTAAGAATACCATAAGTTACTGATATTTTATGCAACTATAACCAAGTATATCTCATAATCTACAAATAATGCGAATAGTGGTCGATAAATGCTGGGTTAATTTGTCATAGATGCAAAAACATATAAGAATTACCTGCAATACAAAGAGAGGAAATCATTTGCAAACTTTTTGAGCTCCAAATTACCTCCACCTGATTCGGAACCCCCTTCCTCTTTAGAAGGAGCATCTGCACTGATAACATCACGGGCAATCAAAGTTTCAAAATGAGCTCTTTTTTTATCATTACAAAGACCCTCATCCTTCCTTGAGTCGCCTGTAGACTCCAAAGAGGGCAAAGAACATTTCTTCGCGATGTCAGAACCCAGACCAATCTCCAATGTCAAATTCCTCTTGACCGAACCGGGACGGGAAGAAGCGTTTTCAGGGTCAGGGTGAGTGTTTGCATCCGGAGATTTAACCAAATATCGCACTAGAGTGCCCTTGGGAGACCCGGAAAACGAGGTTTTTGGACCTTTCTCAGATTGTTTTTTCTTGGAGGCGAAGAACTGTTTGATTTTGGATGACAAAAAAGGAATAAAAACAGGATGGATTTCGTGAATAAGACGTGCTTTCGTGGAAAAGAAGGAAACTTCGTGAGAGAAGATGAAAGACCTGATTAATTCGTGCTCGAGGAGAGCCCGAGGACATCATCGAGGGGCAGGAAAGCAGCCGGCTTCGATGAAAGACAAAGACGATGCAAGCTTCTACGTTGAAAGAGTGAAAAAATACACGGGGAAATGTTGCTGCGCTCCTACCGCCATTCTTTTGAACAAACGAAGCCGCGCTGCGAGCTTCAAAACAGGAACAGGCTCCTAATCGGCTGTTTTTACTAGGGTTATTTGAATAAATTTTGCTTTGTTTACATAAATAATGAATAAATTTAAGAAATTATAAATAGCTATAATGATTAACCATATTTGACAAATAATGACAATATTTCTTTCCAAATGGATGTCTTAAAAGGCCTGATATCATTATTAGAGTTTGATATACAAGTTTAACATTGTTAGTTTGATAATTTTATATTTGAACATTAAAACTTTAAGTCACTCTGTGCAAATAAATATTTAATATTTAGGATATATACATATATTAGGATTTTAAAAATCATGATATGTATGTCAAGATTGATTTTACTTAATTGTGAAATAAGATAAATTGTCTCCCTTTATTATAACGTTTTCAAGCTATTATATAAAGATCAAATTACATATCATTTTATATAAAATGATGTAATAGTGTCAAATTACAGGTCATTTTACGCAATAGTGTTTCAATTGATTTGATGCAAATAGTAAATATGTTTAACAATTTTAAATCAATCGGGTGACTATCATAATAAGAACAAACACTCTAATGCTATCATGCATGCTTGATAGATCATATGATCACATAATATTATATTTTTATTAGTCTCGATATGCAATCACATGCTGCATATAGAGTATTGCTTCATCATTATTAGAACATATCGACATTAAGACCAAATGTTATCATATTCATTGTATCAATCAAAGCATGCCGATTAACTGTCCTTCTACATGGAATTTTCATGTGCAAAACCTTTCTAGTGGGTATCCTTTCCATAACCAATCATCCCATCACATTTACACTTGTATTTGTATTCGTATGGCATCATCATATTTCGTATGTCTCATATAGATTTATGGCACATTTGGCACATCATGTAACATGTAAAAATGTCATAAACATGAATGTATGTGCACCACATGGAGTTCATAAGAATTATATCTATCATAAAATTTATGGCTACACATATGAAGCATGTATGATTAATTCTACAACAACAAAACCAAAATTTGTATTTTCATTCTAATATAAATTTTACTTATCAGTAAAATAAGACAGATTACGACTCTCTGTTATAAAGTTTTAAACATATTATCAATTTTTTCATAGAAGGATCAAATTAAGGGGATTTTTGTACCATTAAAGACAATAAAAGGAGAACATCAATGATTGCAGTCGCATGCAATTTTGAACTTTCAAGGCACATCCATAAGCTTTTCTGCCGATCACTATGGGAAAAAAATAATTAATCTTGATGGATTTTATCAATTGAATTAGTTTATAATACTAATAGCTTTCTAGCAAACAATTTGATGGTATACTTTGTCATTAGAACTCCAACAGTTTTTATGAACAACAAATAGTTGGTGTATAATCTGCCACTGTGATCATCTTTTTGACAAATTTATGCCATCAAATATATAAAAAATGTATACTTGTCGCCACCGAATTTATATTCAAAAATTTCAACAGTAACATAAGTAAATAGACTATTCCCATACCAAATCCTCATACTTTCCTCAACCCATCCCCTTTAATGTAAAACACATTTTGGTTTCATGCAAATTTTTATGATTATATTATGACAAATCTGTATTATTTGGCCTTATATTTTTATCTGACAAATTCATTTGCCATAAAAAAAGCACATGTATAACAATTTCATCTTAACTTTTACGAGTGTTGTCATAAAAGCATTTGAATACTAGGAGTTATGTAAGAAGCACATGTAACATACTAAGATTAAAATTTGGAAAAATTATATAATATGAACTATTAGTTAATCTACTAGAGCTATTAAATATTAATATCATTTCAATTGATAGAAACTGGCAGAAGCAGTTATAAATTTTTCTTCTATCATTAAAATTCTCAAAATTCATATACAATAACCAGAAGATCAATCAATATATCTTTTTTAACCTGACTACATAAGAATAAATAAAAGTCTAGAAAATAAAATAAAACATAAAACTCCCATTAATCTCACTCCATTAGATCCTGGCCCATTTCTAAAAATATATTAAAACTATGGTGCAAGCTAGCTCTGTAGATTACACTAACATACAATTGTAGTAAATGCTTGACAATAGAAAGTAATATATATGTTATCATTCAATCAATATCAATATGAACATGTAATTATTAGAGTATGTAGCATTCAATGTGAATAGTTAAATATCATATGAGTAATGAAAATCAAGGTAAGTGCTATAATTCGTAATTATTGATCAGTAGTCACATGAAGGTTCAGTAGATTCTATCATTTCCTATACCCGTTAGTTAAAAGGCAATTTATGTTTTATTTTATATAAATCAGTACATCTATCATTGATTTAAAAATCATTATACTACATCTATCTTATGCATGTAAATCATATGCATATACATCATTATTCCTATCAAATGCAATATATCAGGCATTAATCTTGTGAATCATATCAGTCTAATTTATAGTATCATGTGTTGGTATTTGTATGTATGTCGTATAATATCAATATCATGTACAATGTATATCATGCATGTCCTGCTATCTATCTTCTTAGCCATATCATATTTTTGTACCAATCATTTCCTATATCATATATATATCATATAATGTCACTTAGACAAATTATCATATATACTCATGTCATATTCATATGCAAACAAGAAAGGAAATCTGGCTACCTATGATTTTTTATTTTTATTTTTTTCATTTCTTGTATCTCGTCATGTTGGCCAACCCTGAAAGAACCAGCCTAAATTATATTAGTCATGTTGCCAGGAATAAGTCTCATATTACATGCCACAACTCAAGTGGTTTTAATAGAAGTTGTCACTTCATGTCTGTCAATGTATCATGTCACAACAATCAGTGTCATTATACTTTTATTTCCATATCACTTAGGATCACACTACAATTAAATAAAAGCACATCAGTCCACCCTTCTATACAAGATAGTATATCTCCAACCAACCTGAATCAACAGTAATATACAAAAAAATGTATGTTTGATTAAATGAATATTCATTGTATGCATATAATATATTTCATATCCAAATGCAGTATACACACTTCTAATCATTTTATACTTAACATTATACTGCTTATTTTAATTAAAATGGCATATAAAAAAAAATTACCTAGTGAAATTTCAATATTTAACCGTCAAAATGCTTAGTAAAGTAATATATACTATATATAAAAAATTATATGGTGAAAAATCATTAAAATAAGATAAATTTTGTTTTTCTATCAATTTTAGGAGGGAGAAAAATAGGCAGAACATAAAATTATTGAAAGTAGAGGTAGGAGTAGGGTTACATACCACGATCAGAACATTTTTCCCAACTAGAGCGATGGAAGATACTGTCCTGAGCCTCACTTTCTCTCTAGAGTGCAAAGAGTTTAACAAAATGGTTTTATATATTTTTATTTTTAAAATATCTAAAGCAAAATCTTAACAGGGAAGCATTGCAATATTGAGTATAGAGTGATGTGAGTTTAACAAAATGGTTTTAGATATTTTTATTAAAAAAAAAAATAGACCTAGTGTCGCAGCACTCCAGATTCAGTATCGCAATGCTTCCCACTAGAGAGCCCAGCACCGCAACGCCCGACTCCATCGTCACAGCGTTAGTTTATTTTCCAAAAATCTTCTAGAGAGCCAAATGCCTCTGTACTACCCACCCGATGCCGTGGTGCTCGACCAACCAAATTCCTGGAAACTAGGACATTAATTTAAGGTTATTATAGCATGATTGAGATACTAAAAACTTGTTTTGGAATAATTAAAAATGTCTTCTAGTGAAGGAGACGAGCACATGAGAATCCATAAAATCAATATTCTCTAAGAAGAAGAAGTCACATTCCACTACACCACCACCATCACTAATAATATCACAACTCAAACTCTAACAACCATGTCATCCACTTCACCCACCACTATCACCCATACCAAACCACCAATTCCTATTTCATCAATCTATCAATCCAAATAAGATGCACATATATATACCATCTTTCCATTCATATTCTTCCTTCCATTACCACCATAAGCATGATTACACACATCTATCATCCTCCTTTTCTTGGTCAATCTACAAACCCATGCCATCTCATTAGGTTAGCATGTCTAGTTATCATAACCCCATACCACTTATTATTCCACCCACATATCGCATGATCAAATTCATCCAAGAACTACAACAAAGGAGTGTGTAATTGATACACCTATACATGAATACAAAGAACAATTTAAGCTTATGGTGACATGTAATACCTCATTTTGATTGTATTTATGTGATTTTTTTTTATAGTTTTTTTTTAATTAAGATTCATTTTCAGGTTTAACCCACTAAAACAACCAACTCATAAGATGAAAGATGCTATAAAGAGCAAGTTTTATCCTCAATAATTTTATGAAAGAATTGCCTCATATGTTTGTGGTCTTTAATTTTAGGAATTTGAGGTATTTTTTCATGTTATAAAATTTTTCTTCTAATTTTGCAATTTACATTTTTTTTCTTGAAATTTCATAACTTCTACTAATTGATTATTTTTATTACATAAGAGCTTCTATATGCATCCCCAATATTATGATCAAATCATGAGTAACTTTAAGCAGCATAGCTCAACCAGCCATAATTCATTTATTGATATTATTGAATTTGGGTAGAGGCCCATATGAACGGTCACAAATATAATGACAAAAATATTGAAGGTCAGTGTAATGACCAATTTTCATCATAATTCCTGCAATGAAGACCAGTGGAAGGACCAATATTCCTCTAAATTTCGGCAATGAAGGCCAGTGGAAGGCCAAATGTTCCTGAAATTCTTGAAATGAAGGTCGCTAGTTGGTACCTATATTTCTCAGAATTATGGCAATGAAGGCTG